GTTAACCTAACTGGCATAGTCGGAACAATGGTAAGCATGATGTAGATGTTTATGGGTGGTATGCACCCAAAGACTCAAATTATGAATTCAAACATAATCCTACTAATGGTGGTGACGTCGATGATGAACAGAACAATATTGACTTGGATAATAATGAAAACGACAAATGCCTTAATGAAGTGGATGTGGATTACAAGCTTTGGACACCCATTGGCATTGTTCGTATACCACCACCAAATCCCTTCCACGAGGCACGACAACAACCATTTTCAAATGCTATTGCGGGTTCCAAACACAATTAATGTTGGTGACATGCAAGAGGCGTCATACTCATGCACCGAAACATTGTTCCCACCAATGCAACTACGAAGAAATTCCAAAAAAAGGCCAAGCAAATATGTGAAGTCACCATATGAACAGCCGAAGGTATAACAATGAAAATTTCATGGTAGCACTTATTTTATAATGTTTCATGGCTTCTTATTTTTTGACTTCCAATACAGAATCATGAGGGGAAGAAGGAAGAAAAGAAAGAGGGCAAGGGGAGGTGAGTAATCCTTAGGAAAACACTCAGCTAAGGGACGAGCCAATTCATACCCCTTTTTTATAGGAAAATAAAATTTTATTAATAAAAGCAATTTACATAAAAAAAAATAAAAAATTGGTTGGATAAGAAATCCAACCAATTACAAGAAATCATAATCAAAATAGCACAAAACACAACCTATATATCACATGTAGCTTGTCATACCGCCAAAATTGAAGATAATGGGATTCCTTTGAATTCTTTAGTAACTGAAGCCTATAATGATGCCAAGAAATAAATATGATCTCATAAACCTTCTCTACACTTAACTCGTTCTTCAATGATTCATGCATTTCTTTCCTTCCAAATAACCCAAAAAATAGCAATAATGGCACAATTCCATAGTGTCTTTCCTTAATTACTCCTCCCAAGACCTATGAAATCTTCAACAAATAAAGATGTTGAAACGAGAACCACCCATATCAATCCCACCAAGCTAAATAACTTGTACAACAACGACAATGCAACAAGGTAATGTACAAATAAATTATCAATGTTCTCATAATTCCCTTTACACATGACACACCATTGCAGACAAAAACAAGAGCGACGCCTCCTTTTTTGAAACATATCCATAATATTAATCCTACAATGTGCAACAATCCATGCAAAAAAAATGTACTTTTTTTTGGCATTTTAGCCTTCCAAATCATCATATTAGGTATAAACAGGATACAAAAGGTCATCTGTAAGAGAATCATAAAATGATTTACACGAAAAAAACACCCGAAGACATAAGAACTCCTATGTGTGGGTGTTGGAGACATTTTTTGATGCAATGGATAATAAAAAATCTATATCAGTTGTGATCAATGGGGATAAGGCCATGGCTGCTGCGATCGAAAGAATATTTCCAAATGCGAAACACAGGCTATGCAAATGGCATTTGAAGAGAAGTGCGCTTCAAAATATTCATCCTAAAAATTTTGTCTGTGAGTTCAAGAAATGTATGTGCACGCAATGTACACCTAAGGAATTTGACATGATGTTGGAATCAATGGTACAATCATTTGTGCTGGAGAATAACAATTGGATAGCAGATGTGGATACAAAGTGTTCTAAAGAGGTTGAAGCATTCTTGTGGTTTCATTTCTTTGGCGGCTTAAAAAGTACACAATGCTCAGAAAGCTTGAATGGTTATTTGAATTGATTCCTAAAAAGAAGGCTTTGGTATGAGTTTTTTAGACAATACAATAGGTGTAATCAAGAATCCGAGAGACTGAGGCCTATGATGACCATTATTCTAAGAACGGTACGTTAGTGTTGACCACATCACTACATTGCTTAGAGTAGCACGCTACCTCAATGTATTTCAGGTCAATGTTTTTTACGTGCGGGATAAAATAAAGGTCGAAGGACTCTTCTTTGTGGTTCAAAAAATTGAGCACATTACTCATTGAAGTTATTATCTATCAAAGTACACACAACCAATATCCAAGTGGATGTGATCTATGATTATAACAATCACACCTTCAAATATAATCACACCATCAAATGCGAGTACTATTCTAAAGTGATTGAGAATTAACGCAAAATTAGGATGCCTAAATACCGATGTGCCTAAAATGTCAAGAAGCTTATTAATTTCAAGCTGATACACTGGATTAACGCAAAATTAGGATGCCCAAATGTGTTACTATGCTACACAATTGCCTGAAGACGCAACGGAGGTAAGAATTACAACACATGCAATAACCACTCGCATGAAAGAACGCCATGATTCATGCTAGTTAACAAATGCTACATCATCACAACACAAAGTGAATAAGAATGTGTCGAAAATAAATTTTGGTGTCGTTAATCCCAAGACATTGAAAACTAAAGGAAATCCAGGGCATATATGAAAGAACATTCCAATAACTCCGGGAATATATAGTAAATGTCAGGGTACTAGACATACTATTTGGAAGTGTCCCCTTACTTACGTGTTATGTAGATGACCCATACAGTGACATGCCCTTCTCACAGCTTCGTGGATCCCAACAACCCATGCCACCAACTGAGGAAGATGACCATTGGACTCCTGCTTACAATTATAGTGGCATCCAATACCAGGTTGGTAAACAACTTACCTTTCATTAATTGGGTAATTCAGTACATACCAAATAATCATATATCAATTTTTGTTTATTTACAGCAAGTGATCCCTGATTTTTATTTGAATGTGGCAATGCATTAATACTTGTTTAAGNTGATGCAATGGATAATAAAAAATCTATATCAGTTGTGATCAATGGGGATAAGGCCATGGCTGCTGCGATCGAAAGAATATTTCCAAATGCGAAACACAGGCTATGCAAATGGCATTTGAAGAGAAGTGCGCTTCAAAATATTCATCCTAAAAATTTTGTCTGTGAGTTCAAGAAATGTATGTGCACGCAATGTACACCTAAGGAATTTGACATGATGTTGGAATCAATGGTACAATCATTTGTGCTGGAGAATAACAATTGGATAGCAGATGTGGATACAAAGTGTTCTAAAGAGGTTGAAGCATTCTTGTGGTTTCATTTCTTTGGCGGCTTAAAAAGTACACAATGCTCAGAAAGCTTGAATGGTTATTTGAATTGATTCCTAAAAAGAAGGCTTTGGTATGAGTTTTTTAGACAATACAATAGGTGTAATCAAGAATCCGAGAGACTGAGGCCTATGATGACCATTATTCTAAGAACGGTACGTTAGTGTTGACCACATCACTACATTGCTTAGAGTAGCACGCTACCTCAATGTATTTCAGGTCAATGTTTTTTACGTGCGGGATAAAATAAAGGTCGAAGGACTCTTCTTTGTGGTTCAAAAAATTGAGCACATTACTCATTGAAGTTATTATCTATCAAAGTACACACAACCAATATCCAAGTGGATGTGATCTATGATTATAACAATCACACCTTCAAATATAATCACACCATCAAATGCGAGTACTATTCTAAAGTGATTGAGAATTAACGCAAAATTAGGATGCCTAAATACCGATGTGCCTAAAATGTCAAGAAGCTTATTAATTTCAAGCTGATACACTGGATTAACGCAAAATTAGGATGCCCAAATGTGTTACTATGCTACACAATTGCCTGAAGACGCAACGGAGGTAAGAATTACAACACATGCAATAACCACTCGCATGAAAGAACGCCATGATTCATGCTAGTTAACAAATGCTACATCATCACAACACAAAGTGAATAAGAATGTGTCGAAAATAAATTTTGGTGTCGTTAATCCCAAGACATTGAAAACTAAAGGAAATCCAGGGCATATATGAAAGAACATTCCAATAACTCCGGGAATATATAGTAAATGTCAGGGTACTAGACATACTATTTGGAAGTGTCCCCTTACTTACGTGTTATGTAGATGACCCATACAGTGACATGCCCTTCTCACAGCTTCGTGGATCCCAACAACCCATGCCACCAACTGAGGAAGATGACCATTGGACTCCTGCTTACAATTATAGTGGCATCCAATACCAGGTTGGTAAACAACTTACCTTTCATTAATTGGGTAATTCAGTACATACCAAATAATCATATATCAATTTTTGTTTATTTACAGCAAGTGATCCCTGATTTTTATTTGAATGTGGCAATGCATTAATACTTGTTTAAGCAATGTTAAGGTGAGGGCATCCATGTGTTCCAGTTCGCATTTTTTTGGTATAAAATATTTCCACCATGACATTAGCATAACGTACTCAATACTTTATGCAGTCTAACATGTACATATTTGGACACTGGACAATGCTGAGATAATGACTTATTCACCCTACATAAAATGCAGCTTACTTATGTGCCAATTTTAGTCATGTTGTAAAGTTTTGCCACTTTTTGTGGAACAAACTATGCATTAACAGTTAGGTCAATCAACGAACTTGTTTATTATATCTTTTACTTGATTGTTGATTATTAGTTGGGAGGGGGTAGGGGGAAGTTGCAACCCCAAATCATATTTTCATGTATAGATGCCAACGGCAAAAAGAAGGAAGCACACTAAAATTTTAATATGTTGTTTGGAATATAATCCCACCTAATGTGCAAGGCTCCAATTTATCTATAGAAAAGCATTGTTAAAATCATATAAGCATGAATGTAGGCACAAAACTCACATGCACTGTATACCAATATCAAAATCCATAAAAAAAAAATAAGAATATAACTACTAGCCAATATATTTAACAACCATGATCATCACATCTATAAAACACTGGCCAAAATATTCTTATACTTTACACCAAAAAAGAACAAAACCAATGTGTCATTTCTTGGTGTACTCTTTAAAGTCCTTATAAAAACTATCTTACTTTGTTTCCAGATGTTTGAAAGACCCCTTTGTTTCATCCTCAAACTTTTCAAATAGCAACCATTTTCTAAAGTGTTTGTCCAGCCATACTAGTATCACCGCTAGAACCAGACTAACCACCCACAACTTGAGACTCCGCTGATGGCTGCTTTAGATGTTGAGCCTGTTTCGAACCCCAAACATGCCCCTACACTTTTATTTAGTGTACCTAGACCCATTGCATTCATGGGGTTCATAAAACTATCACTTTGCTGAAATAAAACTCCATAATGCTTTAAAATCTTGGAAATTAAGATTGGAAATGGAAGACTTGGCCTGCAATCCTATACCTTAGATGTTTCACCAATATAGTTGAATATGTAAAAGAGTAGATCAATACACATCCCTTTTCCCAGTAACAGTTGGGCTCTGTCGTAACCAGTCTGAGCAATATGTCCCTTTGGATCTATATTACAAGTAACAATGCGATTTAAGATCTTATTCGTCAGTGTAAAGGTCATTGTGACAAGTTTTTCTTTTCTCATTCTCCCAAGGGATAGTCACAATGAAAATACCTACAATAACCGTCGCCATGGCAAAAAACTGCTCCTTAGTTGCATATGGAAATACAATGGAATTCTCATGAATGACAAGTCTAGGAATTTTAAATACTTTTGCAATAAGATTAGGGAAAACAGTGATGGATTTCTTCCTAACCCATGACTTAAAGGTGAGATCATTCTCCTTGTAGTCATGAATATTTGCATAAAATAACTTAAGCAGGTTAGTATATGTTTTCTCGTCCATACTCACATCAAACAGAGGATCCCAATTTCGAGCACAAAGTATTTCAGAGTATCCACTCAACCTACTAGTTCATAGAGGCAAACACCACGCTCAAGTAACAGATGATGTTTAATAATGAATTTATCATTCCTCTTTTTAGCATGTTTGTCCACGAAAACTTTCGCATTGCAAGAACTCCTTGTGCTATCCACCTTCTTCCTTTTCTTCGTCTCTCCACTAGGCATCAACAAAGCTAAAATAACACAATGGAAGATCGAATCAGCAAGCTTAGCAATGCATTTTCACCTTCTTCCATTCTTTGTCTCATCGTTCAATAATACTTGATGATTTTCTTCATATAAAATGGGAGACCTTTTTCTTCGACTCTTCCTTTACTTCACTAATAATCGAACCAAAGCTTTGACATGGTTGGCAAACTCGAAGGGACGAAGGAAATTTGGGGTGTTGGGCGATTTAGGGTTTAATTGAATTGGGTGATTTCGAATGGCTTTGGAAGAAAGCATGCTTTAGGGTTTATTTTAGGATTTGGGGATTTATTTAGGTAGCCTCTTATCCGAATTTAGGATAACCCCCCCCCCAACACAAACACACACGCACACAACAATCCTACATGTTACTGTTTGAGGGCATTTAAGTAAATCCAACAGATACTGATCGAACATAATGTAAAGCAATCGATCAGAAGTCCACATGATAGAATTCTGCTACTGCAAATAATAAAACTACAATAATTTGATCGATTGCGCANTTAAGATTGGAAATGGAAGACTTGGCCTGCAATCCTATACCTTAGATGTTTCACCAATATAGTTGAATATGTAAAAGAGTAGATCAATACACATCCCTTTTCCCAGTAACAGTTGGGCTCTGTCGTAACCAGTCTGAGCAATATGTCCCTTTGGATCTATATTACAAGTAACAATGCGATTTAAGATCTTATTCGTCAGTGTAAAGGTCATTGTGACAAGTTTTTCTTTTCTCATTCTCCCAAGGGATAGTCACAATGAAAATACCTACAATAACCGTCGCCATGGCAAAAAACTGCTCCTTAGTTGCATATGGAAATACAATGGAATTCTCATGAATGACAAGTCTAGGAATTTTAAATACTTTTGCAATAAGATTAGGGAAAACAGTGATGGATTTCTTCCTAACCCATGACTTAAAGGTGAGATCATTCTCCTTGTAGTCATGAATATTTGCATAAAATAACTTAAGCAGGTTAGTATATGTTTTCTCGTCCATACTCACATCAAACAGAGGATCCCAATTTCGAGCACAAAGTATTTCAGAGTATCCACTCAACCTACTAGTTCATAGAGGCAAACACCACGCTCAAGTAACAGATGATGTTTAATAATGAATTTATCATTCCTCTTTTTAGCATGTTTGTCCACGAAAACTTTCGCATTGCAAGAACTCCTTGTGCTATCCACCTTCTTCCTTTTCTTCGTCTCTCCACTAGGCATCAACAAAGCTAAAATAACACAATGGAAGATCGAATCAGCAAGCTTAGCAATGCATTTTCACCTTCTTCCATTCTTTGTCTCATCGTTCAATAATACTTGATGATTTTCTTCATATAAAATGGGAGACCTTTTTCTTCGACTCTTCCTTTACTTCACTAATAATCGAACCAAAGCTTTGACATGGTTGGCAAACTCGAAGGGACGAAGGAAATTTGGGGTGTTGGGCGATTTAGGGTTTAATTGAATTGGGTGATTTCGAATGGCTTTGGAAGAAAGCATGCTTTAGGGTTTATTTTAGGATTTGGGGATTTATTTAGGTAGCCTCTTATCCGAATTTAGGATAACCCCCCCCCCAACACAAACACACACGCACACAACAATCCTACATGTTACTGTTTGAGGGCATTTAAGTAAATCCAACAGATACTGATCGAACATAATGTAAAGCAATCGATCAGAAGTCCACATGATAGAATTCTGCTACTGCAAATAATAAAACTACAATAATTTGATCGATTGCGCATAATAGTAATCGATCAAATTCATTCTATTTAAAAACCCTCATGTTTGGTCTATCAAATTTAATAGTCGTTCGATCAAAAGTTGATATCCTCATTGTTGTTTCACATTTACCTTTCAGTTCATAAAACTATTCATACATGTCGTAATATTGAACCAGATATTAGAAAAATTTACCTACTAACTACTAGTTAGTAACTAGTAACTTGGTTCAGAACTGTGGTATGGTTACCCTAAAGTAATATATTTACCCAAAACCGTTGTAACTTTAAATCAATTGTTGTAAATTTGACCATAATATTTTTAAGTTAACTAAATATTGTTGTAAAGTCACCATTTACTTTTGTAATTTTTCTCATTGTTGTTGTAATTAACCTAAGTACTCGTAATAATCTTCTAAACTATTAACTTTGTCCACAATTCTGATAACTCATTATAAATTAGTCTTCCCACAAATGTTGTAATTGGTACTCAAATTCGCATCCTTAAGTCCATTGTTGTTGTAAATTTACGCACTTCATTTGTAAATACACCATTAGCTTTGTTATTTTTCCACTACTGTTGTAAATTAAAAAAAAAAATGGTATTGTAAATATACCATTAGCTTTGTAACTTTGCTCACTATTGTTGTAAATTTACCACAACTGCTGTAAACATACCATTAGGTTTATGATTATGTCCACTACTGTTGTACCATTAGCTTTTGAATTATGTCCACTACTGTTGTAAATCTTCCATTATTGTTGTAATTTTGCCCTCAATTGTTGATGTTTTCTAGTATTTTAGGTTATATTACGACAAAAATGGTATATTTGGACAATGTAAAGAAGCAACCAGTGAAGCCGATTGCCTTACCTTTGCTTTTACATGTGGCCTAATCTGCATCGTTCTGACTTCCATTTGCTGTCTTATGCAATGAATAGCTTTTCGGTATGATACCAAAAAGCTTGTTGGTTGTACCGTGTCCAACATTATTGTTTAAATGTTTGTATCTTAGACAAATTATGACATTACGGGAGCATATAACCAAGAATTATATAAAGTAATGAAGAAGAAAATATAATTATCTAAATGAGTGGTGTGCACAACCAGAGCATTCCAGTAGCTATTAGTTTATTAGGAGGATATCCCCACCGGTAGAAGATGGTAGCCAAGTGTGGAAAGTTAAGAAAAAAACAAAAATGAAATTTTGGGAAAGCGTCGGAGTATGGTGGACATGGATATAACTATGGGGGATTGGGTTGATATTTGAACAAAGGATCCTTTTGTTAACTTTGTTAGTTGATTGTAAGTCAAATGAGACAAACTATAACTTTTTTAAGGAAAATTTAGTGGTGGTCATCACTTTCTAACTTTTTAAGCTAATGGTCCAGACACTTACCTTTTAAGGCCATAAAGACAAAAATACCCTTCATAGTTCACGAACATACAATTGTCTCTTATAAAAAAAATTTTTTGACTATGTCTATCTTTTTCTTTGCCTAGAAATGTATCATAAAAGTAGGAGAAAAAAATTAAACCAATTATTCTGCATTAAATTCATACTTTTCATTAAAAAGATATCTTCTTAATTTTGTCTCTTCCTTCTACCATCCATTAATACCTTTATTGAATTTTTTATCTCTCTCTCCCTACACATATATAAGCATGCGTACATCCAAAATATTTGAGAAATATGTTATTCAATGTCTTTTTTTTTTTTACAATTTTTAGAGAATTTTTTGTATTATGTTTATCTGTCTAAAATGAAATTCGATTACCACAATTGTCATGCCTCTTCTGATTATACACTGAGATCATTCTGAAGGAAATCAAAGTTTATAATACAAATAAATTTGTCTGACATATAATTAAAATTAAAATTTTATTAATACAGATAAAATTACTTAAAATAATTTAAAAAATCTAAGTTTTATTAAGACAGATAAATTCACACCATCAGATAAATAAAAATGAAAGATTTCTTAATACAGATAAATTGAATTAAAATAGTTTTAAAAATATAACACTTATTAAATCAAATAAATTCAATATAAAAGAATCATGAAAATCAAAGTCTATAATACAGATTATTTTTATGTTACGAATAATACAAATTAAAGTTTTGTTAATACGGATAAATAGACCTAAAATAGTTTTAAAAATCTAAGATTTATTAAAACAGATAAATTCAAAATAAAATAATCATGAAAAACTGTGAAGCCCCATTTCATCAGGGGTCCTAATTACCCGTTAAGCCTCGTTAATTAACTCAAGGCATTGATCTCGATGGATCAATCCCAATGGAATTTCTGCAGAGTCTCCTTTATATGGGAGCTCCACCCTAACTCAACCTATGCTCTAGACTAACACAAAGACCATTCCAAGGTGCAATCCAATATGTAAGCATTCTCAAGCATTAAACATTGATCAACGAGTGTCAAATGTAAAAATATACATTTATCTTAAAAATATATACATAAGGTCCCCAATAGACAAGTCTTTATTCAAAAGAATATACAAGTGTTTGCATAACCAAAATACAAGGCTAAAAGTAGATATACAATGGGACCCACGCATCTATACATCCAAAATAAAAATCCGGGCTTCGACTCCATCATCAAGCCGGACTCATGTGAGGGCCATCTGAGGAAACATGAGTACCTAAAAATTGTTTCCATAACAAGGTGAGCCAAAATTCAGTAGGGTATCTCCTATAGAGATTACTTCTCAACCCAAATGCATATGATATGAATGTACATTCAACACACCAAGTATATAACACAAGTAACATTTAAATGATACTAAGCATGTCAACAATGAATGATGTTTCATGAATGCATGTCCGCCTCCGAACCCACTCCCGGGTTCCCATGCACGACACATGATGTAATGTAATGTAATGTCATGAACCAGATATTTCAATCTCCTGCCATTGATGTTATACACACCCAATGACCATTTATTTATTTCTGAGTCTTTATAGGATATGTATCCAACAACGGTTCTTGAAGACATTCCACCTCTAGCTCCATGTTACGCTGTCACACTTTTATGGACTCGTTACATCACCAGAAGATGTGTCACCAAAAAAATTGGATTTTGCACTCGATGGAGAATCTAACCCTTCTTGTTGTATTCCAACACATTTTCATACAATATCCCGTGAGGCTCATTCGAACATTGGTCCAATCTTTTTGGGCCCCACCCTTCAACTCACCTATGTGGTGATTGATTAAACCCATGCACAACACTCACTATCATGAAAAAGAATTTAGTGTTAATCTGTGCACGCGCAATATAATGTACATTTGTAATTTAATTGAAAACACAATGTCAATTATAGTATTGAGTACATAATAAACATTCTAGCATATCAATAAGCATGTTATAAGCATTAATTAACTCAAATAACATACTTGAATACATTTAGTCATTTTATCAAACACTTAGAGAGCATAAATGTAAACACATTACATGCTCACTCATATCACACGTATTTGACATGTTCAACACTCAAATAAAAAAGGAATTAGTCTTAGCCTGTTCATCAATTCATCAAGCATCCCACTAGCTATGCTAGTTACACGGTAGATATTATTCTACATATAACCCTGCCCATATAATATACATAGTCAACATTGAAAGTAATCCTAAATAAGACGAAACTCTTACCTCTTGAAGCTTGATTAACAAGAGAAATCCTTGAGAATATCCCAAGCAAGCCTCTACAAGCCTTCCTTAAGCTCTAGCCCAACCTTGATTTATGGATGGATTGTTGACCAATTTTTGCATTTTTAAAACACAGGGGAGCAAATATTGTAGGAATTATTAAACATAAAAAACATTCATGCCCCATCAAAATAGTGAAAAAATTTAGGATAAATTTCATAAACATCCCTTAAACTATGATCTTTATTTTAAAATATTCCATAAACTCTCATTTGTCTTAATTTACCTGTCGCCCCCTCTGCAGGCCCTTAATGTTGCGGGGTTTGAACCTCGCCGCCCTCTTTGTCATTTAACGTCTAAATTTCAATATAAAATGTCAATTGAAATCAATTACATAGTCCAAGGGATAAATTGAGACAAATAAAAGTTTTATAGACATTTATTTGGGATATAGGATATTAAGTTGTTCCAATATTAATGATCCCATGAAGTTCGGAGAACATACAAAATCAAAGTAATGAAGTAGATCTTTGCAGTAGTGTATTGTGATCAAGGCTAAAGTTTCAAAGTTAAATCATGAAGTTATGAAGATAAGAGACCTAAATT